CTTTGAGATTTCCTTGTTGACCGTGTATACAATCTTCTCTTTCTTTTAACAACATTTCTAAATGTTTATTCATATCACGTAACTCTTCCAGCTCGGCGTCTCTCACCTGGGAATCGAATAACAAATAATACAGTACATTAGAGATATTCCTACAGACGAATGAAGCAACGATCGTGACAATAAATATACACAGAGCTCATTTTTCAAAACGATGATCTCAGAATCCTTCTGAATGATAATCCCTTTATGCACGTTGTTATGCAGATCAGAATCCGATTCTGCTCCCATTTCAATATCAGATTCCGACGGGGTTCCAATATCTTGGGAGCTGTCGCTACAAGATGCATCACATTCAGAACTTTGTTCCTCCTGATTATTAGTTTGTAAACTACTTTTGTCCAGATACATCGCGCTATTATCTTCGCTAGATTTCGACGTGAAAGACGTTTGCGAGATCACCTAAATAACATTCTAATAAGCAGATTGTTCGATGGTGATAGAGAACGTAACGACGAGGTTCATACAGATATAGTTATCCTTTTTTTCCTCTTCTTTATGTCAGACTGGTAACAGACTTGGGTCTCTGCATCACGTGTTTCTCGTCCCACCTATAGCACAAATAAAATGTTTCATTAATTGCGATATTAATGCTAAAGTCAGCGTTTCAGATAAATGATTTTTTCTTGGCCAATTGAAGTCTTAATTATGTATTCTACTCTAGATTATATTAGTGATGATATCTGGGACTTAAATAAGTGCAGGTCTCAGAATAGGTGAAGAAATTAGCCACTAGAAGATTATAGTTAACAGCATATATAATTAGGATTTTGACTAGTCACGAAGAAATCGGTCGCTAGGGAAATTTAATCATTAATCATCAATGCGTCAATTAAAAGTCTGCAACCTCGAGTAAAATGCATAGCAACTGCATGACAATAACATACTTGGACTTCTACATCGATGCATTCTACGCACGATGTCCTCTTCTCGCGACACTCTGAAAAATGCAAATCCAAATTGAAGAATATTAACAAAGACATATTTATATCGATTTACCAGCAACAGGAAGCGATTTCATAGCAGGCCCGCATGGGGATACCAAATTGTAGTTATTCAAACATGAACCCACATCGAACGCAGTTAAAGAGTACGAGTATAATTGATTCGATTGATTCCTCGCAGCTGGCCTTTGCCTCGTTTCATCGTACAAATGCCTTTCGCAGGGTATATGAATTGAGAAACACGAATTTGACCGGACCATAGAATTCGACGTTCTAGTATTATTGAACGCGTCTTTAATAAGTCCTGTCGTGTAGTTGGATCTGTTCATCAACTCTTTCGCTTTCGGTGAATAATTCTACAAGAGAAATACATCCGATTAAAATCGTTAGGACACGTTAGAAATGATGTAAAAAACGCCTTACGAGATCCTTTAATTGCTGCCTTTGCTGAGGAGTGAGTTCCAGAGTTTTGTACTTCTGCAACTCTTTTTTAACAGTTTGCAGTTCATTCTGTGCTTGCGAATTCAACTGGATTATGTTATCAATCACGACGTTGAACGGTATTATCTTCCCTATCTGGAAGAAGAAGAAGGCATTTAAGTAACTTAGTTGAAAAACGTGTTGCCCTTGACTCGTTACGTACCGGGGATTCGTTTTCACTAAGTTCACGGAAGTAACGTGACTTCTCTAAAGAGTTCGGGCTCCAGGCTCTGATGTCTTGGCAGGAATCGTGTAACTTCAACCGGCCTTCCAAACGTTTCTTCGGTAAAACATAATCACCGTACATCAGAGGTGTGCCTGAATTGTGTTTAGTAGCCAAAAAGATTCGCGGCCCGTGCTCGACGTAAGACATGTTTGCTCTTCTCTCAGTCCCATGCAACATCAATTCTATCCTTCTTACACATTAATTACCGCTACCATATCAACATAACCGATGGAATCGAGAAGTCCTTGCTAAAAATATAATATATAAAGTGAGTTGCACTAGCGCATGCCGCGCACCATCTTCCACTGTTTTTATTTATAATAAGCTGAAGTGAGAAACAAAAAATTAGAGGATATTGAATTATGGTATCATGAATTATAGAATAAGATTCATTG